CCGAATGAGGAGGCAGGCCCTTCCCTATATCGAAGTGGCCTGCCTGCGTCCAGTCCAGGAAGCTTCCGGTAGGCCCTGGTAGGCACAGGCCCAGTCACGAAGAGAGCAGGCCTTGGGCCTGAAGTGGTTGCATGCGCCCAACTGCTTTCGGCCTGTGTTTGGCCCGGTACCCGTATYCAGCCCAGGGCCTGCTTCACATTCATTTACGCAGGCGGCCCAGGGCCTGGATTCATTCAACCAACTGGCGCAACGCAACTGTCTGAATTTCCCCGTTGCGGGGTACCCTGAAGAATGAGGCCCGAAGGGCCTGTCGTGCCTGCCTTCACTTAGGGCGGCCGACCTTGTTGCAGATAGGGCCCCGTAGGGGCTAGCGGGCGTAGCCTCGCACCAGTTCTACCCCTGTAGACTTCTTCCCCCTCCCATTCTACCCAAAGCGGGGCTTCTGAATTGCACAAATCTATTTCGGACATAGGGCCCTGATGGGAGACCGAGTTGAATAGCCAATCCGGAATCCACAGAGATAAGAAACAAACAGGCACAGCTGAGAGAATGCGGAGACAGGAGGGAATTTTGCAGAAAAATGAAACCAAAAAAAGTTTAAAATTTTGAAAAGGAAGTCTCAACAAACCGCTCTTGGGTGTCGGATGCAACTGTCCTAAGGGATTTCACAGATAAGGGGCAAGCATCCTTTTTACTTCCTGACGCTGATAGAAAGGGGTGAAGGCATCAAGCCCTTAACAGGCACTTGAAGGTCCTAAGGTCCTAAGCTGAGGCATGCATGGCTACCACCCCCGCAATGACACAGGCCAGTTCTCAGGCCACTTCATCAGGTGCCAGTTCGGGTATGTCCGGGTCTGCCAGTTCTCAGTCTGCTGGCTTACAGGTCAGCCAGCAGCAACAACTGTTGCCAGAGGAAATTGAAACCCAGCAGATAAATGCCGCTCAAGCAGAGTTACAGCGCCAGATGCGGGATTCAGAAAAGAGAAAACTGAGTGTTACTAGAAGAAAAGCCAGACTAGAGCAGAGGGTAGGGGAACTAGGGAGGATAGAGCCATTCGATCCTGAAGCACTTGATCATGAGATACGGTCGCTTCGTGCTGGACTTTTGAGTGTGCCCGAAGTCCAAATCATGCAGCGGGAAATGCTGGACAGCAGCAAATTATGGCTGCTTTGCGAGCACCTAGGCCAACGCCCCGGCCTCCGCAAGCCACTGTAGTACCCCCGACAGTGGCTGGTCCAACCATGTCACTGCCACCAATTAGCGGTCCTGTCATCCCACAGTTTGGCATGATTCCATCAGGCAGTACAGCAGCAGGTGTTAGTGGGCGGCCTCCGGGACCACCTCCTTCGGTCCCCCATCCAGCAGCTGCAGCTACAGGGCAGCCGCAAGTCCAGCAGCCTTTGCAACAGGCTTTGCAGCAGCAGCAGCAAGTGCTCCAGCCACTGCAGCAGCCTGTCCCACCGGTGTCCCAGCCGGTGCAGCAGGCCCGGGGTGCTGGACCTCAATGCAGTGGACACGCTAGGTTCCATTGCAGATTCCTAAACCTTTCTCCGGCAACAAGAGAAAGAAAGAGGACTTAAACACTTGGGTGAGAATTGTGCCCACTTATGTGAGGCACAAGCATACACATCCTGACGAAGAAGTCATTGTCGCTGCATCCTTTCTAGAAGGATCAGCAGCCAGATGGTTGAATGGTTTGGTGCAGCAGCATGGATACGATCAAAACTTCGAAGGTTGGGTGCAGGCTCGGTCATTGGAGGACTTTGTGTGGTTGGTTCACAACAGGTGGCATGACCCCCAGGGGGCTCAAAAGGCTACCGACTCGCTGGCAAGCCCAGGATCCAAAAGATACAGGTCTGTCCGCAAGGTGACCGATGCAGTAGAGCGTTTGATCGTTGTCCCAATCGTGTGGTACGATCCGCAGATCCTCATGACAACTTATTTGCGATGTCTGCCTGCAGATGTCAAGGATAAGTTGGTCGATGAGGCCTCCATAGATGTGCATGCCTTCGCTTCGTCTAGCAAGAAAGCCTTGAGGCTAAGCTCGAGAGTGCACAGCAGGCATCGGCGGATGGGAGGAAGAAGAAGCTTCCTCAGGATTGGAAGAAAAAGGGGAACCTCATGTTCGTTGACCATGATGGCAATGCAACTGAAGTTGAGGATTTTTCGTATCTTGGGGAGGAGACAGAGGTAGACGGGGGCTCAGAGACTTCAGAGGGTGGAGTGGTAGCCCAAATTAGAGAGAAGGCTAAGGGGGTCAGGAAGCAAAAGGTGTGCCGGCCTAGGGGTCAAATGGAACAAGGTCCACCCATATGGGTGAAACTTAGATTGGAGTGCGAAGTGTGGCGTGACTGTGTTGCACGAGGTGCATGTCTCAATTGTGGCCAATATGGCCACACAATGGGCCGGTGCAAGAGTAAGCAGGTCACCCGGAAGGTAGCATCCTCTATAGTGGTTGCGCAATCTTCCAACTCTGGTGGTGCTTCTGCGAGCACTTCTCAGAGAAACTCCTCGGGCTAGTAGGAGTATTAGCTGCCCTTACTCGTGCTGAAGTGGTTACCTTACCCTCTCCATTTTAGACAATGGCCAACGCTATTGACCCCCTTATCGCCCCAGAGACAGATCCAAACCAATCGATACTCTGTTCGATGGATATGTCTGAGTCCTTAAAGGAGTTCGAGACTGGGTGGCTAGAGAAAGACCCTAGAGACTCTTAGGCGATGATGGCAAGAGGTCCTAGAGGTGAACATTTCATCGTAGAATCAATGTAGGTGGCCAAAAGGTTGGAACCTTTTGTCTCTCAGAAAATGAGGCCGTAAAAACACCACCAGAGATAGAAGTCGTCGTTGCTCAATATCCAGACCTTTTTGAGGAGCCTAGGGGCGTGGTAGACAGGGAGGTTGTCCATGCGATCGAAATCATTTCGGATAGCAAGGTACCTATAGAGGATGTCTCCTATAGAGTTAGATGAGCTTCGCCGACAGCTCAATGAGCTCACAGAGAAGGGTTGGATCCGGTCTAGTACATCCCCCTATGATGCGCTAGTACTATTTGTTCCCAAGAAGCGGGGGACACTAAGGATGTGCATTGACTATAGGGGCCTCAACTCCATCACCGTTAAGAACGCAGAGCCCCTACCACGCATCGACGACCTCTTGGATCGAGTGCAGGGAGGCCGGTACTACACAAAGATAGATTTGAAGTCCGCATACCATGAGATTGCCATTAGGCCTGAGGATCAGCACAAAACCGCATTTCAGACCAGGTACGGTCTATAAGAGTTTGTATTGATGCCCTTCGGTCTATGCAATGCTCCAAGTACGTTCCAGCAGGCAATGAACAGGATCTTTCACGACTACCTAGACATGTTTATCGTTGTGTACCTAGACGATATTCTTATCTTTAGTAGGACTGTAAAGGAGGAGCACGTTGAGCACTTAAAAACAGTGCGAGGGCTCCTAAGACAGCACCAATACAAGATTAACTTGGAGAAATGCGGATTTGGTCGCACCTATCACGAAATATTTTCCCTCACTGTTCTTCCTTCTCTTCCTTACGTACTCTGGCATGCCACGTTCATCAATGGTCGATGTCCATGTGATGGAAAAGGCGAGACATGACTTAACTCCTCTTTGGGGGATTGGCTCATCGTATCAATCAGTTCTTTCCTCCTAATCAATTCAAGCATGTGTTATGTGTTCTTCTTCTTCAAGTATCTCATGTTTATTACTCCTCTCGTGAGAGGGAGAGGAGAGACGAAGAGAGAGACAAAAAGAAGGACACAGAGAGAGAGAGGGAGAGAGGGAGAGAGTCGCGAGCTGAGTCCTGTTTGAATGAGATGCTTCAGCAGAATCAGCACATTATGAGCACCACTTCTTTTTCTTTTTTTTTTGTGCGTGTGTTTTTTCATGGATTATGCTTTTTATACCATTTCTTTTGTGTTCCCTTTTATTTGAGCCCCATGCCTGCTGTACAAATCCACATCCCGAGAGAGAGAGAGAGAGAGAGAGAGAGAGAGAGAGAGAGAGAGAGAGAGAGAGAGAGAGAGAGAGAGAAGATCTGCATTGACATATCTTTGACCGTCTAAACGACAGGTCTATGTGACCGCTGCCTCTTATGATTCTCACATGTGAACACTCACACTGATAAATAGTTGATCAGGACTTCTAGAGTGCATTCTGGAATTGGCTGCCTGTTCTCTCTCCCTGCCACCCCAGTTTGGGCCGTTTTCTTTGGACCTTATCTTTCACTCCCGTTTTTCTTCCCCCCAATATTCAAACAAAAACTGATGTGAGTGTGTGCTACAAACCCTTCCCCCTGTATATCCCACCACCAGATCGGCCCCGCAGTAGGTCTCTGCTTGTTTGTTATAATGCCAATATGTTCTACTCCTGAGGACGGACAGCAATGGAAACTAAGTTGTCATCGAATTTGACGCATCAGCAGTAGTTATCTTTCTCTTCCACTATTTCCTTCATCCTACTTCCTACTTTTTCTTTATCCTCTGTGTCATCTTCCGCCGTCCTCAGTGCTCCTGTTCCTTGATCGAAATTGTCAGTGTTCCAGTATTTAGCTGCCTACTCATTCTCCTCGTCCTTTCTCCTCATCACCCTCTGCTTCTCTGCTTGTCCTCCTCCTTTCCTCCTCTCTTCCACCTTCCTCTCCTCTTCTTCATGTCACTTCTTTTCCAATTTTTTTCTATCATCATTGAACTGACCGGCCCTAGGTAATTCAGAATTATATTACTTATCTGCTTCCAGCGGAGTTCGAACTCACGTCTGTATTTCAACAGTTCAGGGGTGTACCTGAGCTAGACCAGTTGGTATTCATCTCACTTTACTGCGCATTGTTTTATTGTTATCTTTGCCAATTTGAATAGACCTACATGTAGATGGAGAGGTGCATCGTCATCATCACCAGCATCACACTCAGTCATCACCTCCTACACTTCCCTGTAATTTTCCCCATCCTGACACATCATATCCGATCATGCTTCCCCCTTTCCTCTAATCTTCTGCTTCACCGTCAAGAACATCGCACTCACTCACCTCCCTCGTATTCCTCTTGCACCACTTTCTGTTTTTCTATGTAATTATTTTCATCACATACTCTATAACATGCTTTACATACTGCCACAGAGAATTGCCCAGTGAGCCACAGGCAAAAAGCGAGAAAAGGACAAGAAACGGAGGACTGCGACATACCGTTTCATCTGAATTTCGCCGACTCATCAGATGGCTGAACCCTACCATTCCCGGTACAGAGAATGACAGATGTACCTTGATATTGTCACGAACATCATACTCATCAGCTGTCACCCTCCTAAGTTCTGCTCATTCAGATACAAGTCATCAGGGTTCCTCCTTCTCCTCCTCCTCCCCCTGCCTGCCCCTTCTTCCGTCCTGTCCCTCCATCCTACTCTTCCTCCTCCCTCCTCCTGCCACCTCTTTTCCTCATTTCCCCGGCTGAACCACACCCTGTCGTAGGCCTCAAGGCATAGAAACCTTGACCCCATGGCCATTCGCGGATCCATAACACCATGTGATATGAAAAGGTAAGAACTGCCCCCAAATTGAGATGATGAGTCCATAGCAAGTTGAACCTTTGAGAGCTACAGTAGATAGAAATCAGCGGTTTATTGTTTTTGCTCCAAATTACGTGTGATTTGGTCAACCATGCAATGAACATATTATGATCAACCAAGGGACATGTAAAAGCACAGGCAAATGGAGAAACAGGGCATGGGAAGTAGATGACTGGATACTGCGCTTTATGTGGAAGAAGGGTGGTGGTGCGCTTTCATCCATAAATGCAGAAAGTAGCTGTGGAGGTAACTGAAAATCCTCAGTTGACTGAGGGAAAGGGAGCTTTTCAAAGAACTCCTCAAAGTTGAACGCTCCCTCCTCATCACACTGCAAGATGACGATCACAAGAAAACAACCCATCAGGAACAACTCTCGTCACAGATGCATGCCGTCCACTGCTCATTCCGCAACATGTTCTCACCATTCCCTCCGCTTCCTTCAATTCATCTCAACGGCATTGCTACACAGCCGATTCTTGCTTCTCCCCCATTCCCCACCTTCTTCGTGCCATTCTCTCTCTCTCTCTCTCTCTCTCTCTCTCT